GTTATTCGTAACGGCTGCACAATATCATGCTACGACATGAAACTGCAGAAGTATTTCTCACCAGCAAAAACAGTTTCTTCGCGCTGACATTTGATCTCGCTGATCCTTTGAGTCAACACGTTACTCTTGAACTACCAGTCAGACGCTCAGCTCATCATTTCCGTCGCTAAAAATAGTGGTTTTTTGAATTTTTTCTACCTTATACCACTTTCGTAGAATCAGATAGATCAACGAGAATAAGATGTGTCCATTTTTAAATCCTACTCCGTTTGCTCTGAGGAAAATATTTTTAAAAAATTGATGCCGTTTTCAAGAAAAAATATTTTTTTAATTGCTTTACCTCCTAGAAGAAATTACGTAAAAACTACTCGCTTTTTTAAAAAAATGTACATGTCGTTACTTAAAAATCTATTTTTTACAATAGATTTTATTTAAGAAGAAATCCTGACGTCAGTATTTTACTTTTGCATTGATAATATTTTACAATTTTTGAGGATACAGAGTGTTTGTCAAAAATGGGAACAGCTTAGTCCCGCTCTTTGCTACATACGAGGAACAAGTTTTTAAAAAATTGGAGGAGTTTTTTAGAAAAATGTGTTTGAAAAATGCCTTTGAAAAATTGTGCAAAAACTATTAGTGATTTCAAAAAATTGAACACGACTTTCTACAATTAATTGTACATCCATTTGAATAACATATTTCGTTTTGAGGGAAAACTTAATTTTAATATTGTTAAAGTTATTTAATATTCTTCATGTGTGTCAATATTGTTTCTAGTTATATGAAAACCTTGAAAAAATTGATCTCTCACAATTTTCGTCAATTCAGAAACAAGAATATGCACCATATTGTGAACGTTCTTTAGGCTATCCGAGGACGAAGATTAATAAAAACAGTGGCAGACATTTCTGAAAACATCTTGTTATGTTGTTGAGAGATCATGTAAAGTAACGCCAGAAATACAAATATGTATTTCACACTCACAGGGCCTCGAGTGCGTTCAGATCAATTGGCGAAAATCAATTTTACAGAAAAGTGGTTGTTGGTATAGACGCTAGCGTTGTCCTCAGAGGGACAGATGAATGGACGGACAGATGGACAGACGGATAGATGGACAGATGGAAAGATGGACAGACGGACGCACAGACGGACGTACA